CAACGCCGCAGAACGGTGAAAAACAACAATAGGTCTAATTAGCAAAAAAGCAACTTTGCACGTGCAGCACACTTTTTTTGTACATTTCTTTGCCGCTGTTTTGCACGACTACAACGTGAAACTTCCAGAAACTTCTTAGTTACAGGTTTTTTTCGTTCACTTTTTTTTCACTGCCGCTAATTTTCACCTTGCATTGGTGGCCGCTAGCATTTCTCATTTTGTCACCACCGTTACAAAATTTTCATGTTGTTCAGTTCCAACTACAAAATGTTTCCTTTGTTTTTTATCTCTCGCTCTAAATCTCTGTCGCCCTTTTTCTCGTTGAGCTTCGCTGGCCTGCCGCTTACTTTCTCTTTTTCTTTATGTCTCTCTTGCTCTATCTTCCAAATTTGTGGACATGACTTAATACTTTAGAAAACACGACGTATACAGAGACAATTTCCACTTTCTATTTTCCTTTTCATTCACTCTTTAGTTGTTTCTGCTTTACAAGACGCGGGTGGCTATGCGATTTCCCGTCAAAATAACCTGGAGTTGCATTTTGAGTTGGAGTTGCATACCTGTTGATTCAGTTATTTTACATTGGTATGTCTGTGGTGCGGACGGACGGTCGGGCGGTCGGTCGGTCGGTGTACGGTCACATGATTACCAAATTTTCTCGGATGGGTAGTTTACCACATTTTCTTACCCATGGTGCTCCGCTGTATGATATGTTCTGTGGATGTGACACGAATGTAATGGAATAAAGTGCTCGTGACGGCAAGCATATTCATGAAAAGGTAGACATTTTGAGATTTGTCTGCTCGAGAAAATTTGGTCAGATCTTATACCAACATGAAACAATATATTCCCTTTGTTTGAGGAACATCAATGGCCACCGTGACGTCGTATATATGCAGCTTAATTGCACATCACATTATGTGCCAACTAAGGCATGGTTTCACAGACTAACATAAACTACGGGCCGTGTCCCCAGTATTGAAACAAGTTTCTGACCCACAGCTAAGCCGGAAGCACCGATAATTTTGGAAGTTCTCGCAGGAGTTAATGACTTGGTAATACGTTGGAATGCGTCCATCACCCATCCTGCTGGACCAGTCCTGGATTATCTAGTACAGGTGAAAGAGGAGGATGATCCACTGAGACTAAACAATTGCTCGCGAATCGAAGAAATTGCTTCCTCGTTTACCTGTGTTCTGGACAATTTGAAGAGTGGTACTGTGTATTTTGTGCGCGTTGCAGCACGGAATATTGTGGGATACAGTGACTTTACAAAGGAGGAAATTCGAACAAAAGATGTTGATGACGATGAAAATAAAGGTACGAGGACTTCACATATAAATACATTTTTTAAATTATATAATTCCCCTTCACACGGAGAGATATTACTTGTTAAGGCTGCTTTTTGCTGTATAGCAATTATAACAAAGAGAGGCACATAATATGAAAAAGCTCTACTTCATTGTTTACTGAGGCTTTGCGTATCATCTGGGGGAGAGTTTTGCTCGTAAATACTGATAATAATAAGAATGATTATGATAATGATAATATTAATGGTAGTGATAACGATGATGCTAATGATGGTAAACGTGGTGAATGTGTAACGATTGTGATTGATTATTTTGGTTTTATCAAGGGAAACCAGACGAGACCCAGCATCGCTTTGAAAAAGAGGTTAATTTTTAAGATACGGATTTCCCCAAAGCTATTTAATTATTTTGTTGAATCCCTTTTACAGAAATGGGCGCCTTAAAACAACACAAAGGCAAGTCTACATACGTAGTTGACGCTATTATTGGAGGGGTCATTGGCTTGAGCAGTCTGGTCGTAATAATTGTAGCTATAGTGATAGACAGACGACCTTGCCACAAAGGTATCTGGATAGATATAACTGTATAATACGCTAAGATTAGATATAGTTTCGTTGTGGTAATTACTTTTTTATTCAAGGGGATTTGTGCAAAAGATCAGACTACAACCTATGAGTAGGTTTAGGTTCGCCGACATGGACGATAATGTCAAATTTTAAAGCTTGGTTTCCATACGTTACCCACATCGTCCCAATCATTCTGATTCCAGGGGAGAATTGGGGCGATTATATGGGGACCATAGCAACTTCAAAATACCTTGTCACTAGCGTGCTTTGCGTTGAAAACCATGGTCCCCCAGTGGTTAACTTTGAATAAACTGCTACCGTGGTCCCCTAGTGGAACCGGCCGTAACACCTGATTTCCATGTTATCATCTGGATCACTACATCGTCCTGGACGTTTTTAGGACGACTGAGAAAATGGAAGAAAAAACGGAAGCTTATTTCGAAATCAGCCTATTATATAAATGTATAACCGATTTTGGATCTTTGCGCATCACCACTAGATGATTGTCGCGATCGAAGGTTTAAACTAGTGGTCAGTTTATGATCATTTATGCTAACTGATGTTAATGTGTGATTATAGAGCAGTAGAATCATCTTTGTTTCTAGCAGCTGAGTGTGGCAGTCAAGAAATCCGCAATTTGCTCAAACATTTTGGAGATAATTAACATTTATATAAACTAATAATGGCGACCTAGCCTGTAAAGCTTTGATCAATGTTTTTTTTTCATACTAGTTTTCGTCCTTTATTCTTGACTTTTCTTTATTTAATCTTTACTCCTGACCTAACATGAGTTCTTTACAACAACAGCTTTGATTCAAATCGTATTCAATTTGTTCCATTTTGTAGGCAGTAAGAAAAGCAACATTGATAAAAGGTGAGCCACACAATCTCTTCACTTCTTTACTGAAATGCATAAGTTATATGATAACTTGCTGAAGCAATTGTCAGCAAACACTTTGATTCTCCATGGCTCAAAGAGTGACTCTTTTATTTTGCTTTTATTTAGCTTTAAGGACGGCCATGACAATGAAGGCTTCGCGGAAAACCCGAAGGCTGATGAATTGCAGGTATGTAAACCAGGCTAGATGGTTAGAATTGTGTTCGATCCGAGAAAACGTAACCCCTGCTCAACTTATGTTATTCCTCTATCTAGAACACCAGAGTCCTTTTTTCCCCTATTTAATTTAAATGAAGTGTGCATTTGTAACCATTATTCTGGCAGAGCACCACGAACACTGCACTGAAAAGGATACCTGATGACCCTAGGTTTTGTTGTTGTACTGGCTGACTTTAAAACTAATCCAACAATGGTGAGCCAAGAGGTTTTGCATCATTATTACGCTGTTCAATGTCATATAGATTTTCAATTGTAGCCATCGTAGTCCTCATAGCGAAGCTCTTGCGCACGTGAAGCGCTCACACCGGAGCACCATGGGTAATAGAACTGGGTTATCTATGCATCCAAGAAATTTTGGTTGTTACCAAATCGTCCGTCCGTACGTACGTCCTTATGTAGATGTGAAAGGTCACACTTACTAGCCTGAGGTCCAACGCATATTAAATCTGTTTTTACTTGAAATTGGACATCCATGTTATGTTTAATTGACAGCTGTAAAAACCCGCTATCCCACTGACCAGTGTCACATGAAGTTCTTGAGCAGTTATTGGTTTTCAATTGATCGTTGGTTCAGGTCCATCTTTTTTCAGGAGGTTTTCAGTTTGCTTCTTGCTTATAGCAAAAGTTAAATTGAGTAAAAGATGCCGCTTTTGGCCTTGTCTAAATCTATATATCGCATCCAGCTTTTGATATTCGAAGGATCGAAGCTATCTATATAACTATTGGGCAGTATTCACTCCATAGCGAATATATAGAGACGGGAAACAAAATGGCTGACGTGCAATCGGAGTTTTGCCGCCAAAGGTTCAGAGCATAACCGATTGAAAATACAACAAAATCCTAGCATTGACGTTCTGCAGAAAAGAGAAAAAATTCAATTCTATTAATAAACGTTTTTTGCTCACCTCGATGAGAGCCGCCATGACAGCACTTACAAACGAAACCTTTTCATTAAGTTGGCGAGTTGACAGATCCAAGCAAACAGCTCTTATTTTATTCCCAGGTTGGGTAACAATATAAAGTCTTGACGATCCCTTTTAAACCGCTGACGCTATAGTTTGCAAAAGGACGGAAAATATGATTTCTATGTTTTAAACTCCTGCAAAGATCCGACTTTGCACGCGCTGTTGACCGCTATATGGGCCTTTTTCGCGTATGAAATTATCAGTCAATCGAATCGTTTGAATGGCTTCCTCTCTGCCACTATTCTCCTTGATCCCAAGAACAGGTGATACGTATCGTTAGCAAATAGAGAGGTGAGCCTCTCGCGACTTGCCTTATGCTTGGTATTGGCGAAACGAGTGGGTGATTGCATGGTAGAAGGTACTCCAAAGGAACATAACGGACAGCACCAAGCCACCTATTAAATATTCCCTCATGGTCATTCTAATAATAATAATAATAATAATAATAATAATAATAATAATAATAATAATAATGATTTTTTTTTAAAAAAACGCTACAAAACTTTATTCATAGATTTAAAAAAATAGACTATTTACAGATTCAAGAATATGAAATTTTAAAATATATACCCTATGTACATTCTTCTTGTGTACGAAAGAGAATTGTCGTAAAATAACTATCTAAAGACTACTAATAACAATTATAAAAAACATCAAAAAGTTAATAAAAAAAATAAATAATAATAATAATAATAATAATAATAATTATTATTATTGTTGTTTGCTGAACTTCATGCTGTCCTTCAAAACGATCCGATTCTGTCCGAAGGATATATGTCTGGTGCATTAGAGGTGGATAATAGGGAAGATAAGATGGATTTCTTAAACTATTAATTATTGCAGGTTGGAGCACAGCAGTTGTTGTTGTTTGTTGGACTTCATGCTGTCCTTCAAAACGGTCCTAAGAAGCTTTGTGGTCGTATATCGTACCCAGTTTTTCAATCGTTTAGAACATGCGAATTGAATTTACCACCTCTTTTGTTTACAGGAGCAACAAGTATAATGGAGAGCTTAGATAAGTGGAAGTACAAAGAAGGCTTGTCGGAGAACGGGGTCCCGCCTCAAGCAAGCCTTCAATGAAGATGAGGGACATCGGGTCGATAGACTGAAAAAAGTCATTGTCAAGTGTGTATCACAGATTTTGTCAATGGGGTTTAGTTTTTACCCTTATTAGTGAGATCAAACTTTGTAAACACTTTTAAAGGATGATGTTTGTAAATATTAGCACTAAGTTTGATAAATATTTTAGAAGGTAACTTGTAAATAAACTGGTTTACCTTCGGCCAGGTACGTAACACCCGTAACAAAAACTTTTAAATTGTATTTCTTAGAAGCTACGAGCAAATTCTTACATCTAGTCATGGCATGGGAAAATAACAGCCCCCTCCGCGTGGGGTTTTTCGTTTTTTGTCTACCTCATTTCAATTCTCATAACTAGAGCAGGAGATTTTCGTCAGTCTATGCAAAACTATGTCTCAGAAGTAAATGATTGGCTATTATTATTATTATTGGAAAAGGAGGTTTGGAAACATAAAATAGCAACGAACAATATACAGGTCGATGTAGAACCCACTACATACAAATGAGGTGAAAATAACTAAGTTAATATCATGGCAGCACTGACAAAACACAGCAATAATCGTTATCTATTATTCTGATACGAAGGGTGACAAAATAACTATCAATAAAACATTTGAGCAAGATGAGTACCTCCACGCTTATAATTCACCCTACCGACCCTGAAAAAAATGTTCATCTAACTCGGCTCAAGTCGTTTCCAACTTAGCAAACCATGTCATGAGTTTAAAACCTTTGCCACCAATTTTTTCTCCAGAGCCTTCATTACCGCAGGGTAACTGGTAACAGACGCTCTGGAAAAATCGGAAACCGGATCTGCAAAGTCCCGGTTTCGGTTTGATTACTTCCTAAAGAAGTTGTTAACTAGTTACTGACCAAGAGAGGTCCCTGGGGGAATTTTTTAGGAAACCACAATTTGAATAGGCGCCGTAGTTCCGTAATAGTCACGAGCAGATAACTTTACGTTACCTTCGATCGCGACGAATTTAGTAAAGAAAGCATCTTTAGTTAAAGAAGACCGAAAAATATCAATGCAATAACGCGGTGATCTGACAAGCTTGATCCTTGTCCTGTAAAGTCGACTGAAACATTCTTTGTGTTCGCTCCATTACGGCTGCCAATTGGGCGAATTTTGAAAGCTTTCGTCAACTGAACTGTTAAGAAGCAACTTTGGCAGTCACTTATAATGTGTGTTATTCATCTTTAAGGTTTGTTACCAATCGTTCGGAATTCTCTGACCCAATCTCCCCAAAATTCTCTTCCCTTGCAGGGAAGAGAATTATCTTGAGCCACCATTTTGAACCACGGCTCCACGGTATTTTTCCCGGGAAAATTAACCCTATTCAGACCGGGGGTTTTCGAGGCCTTCCCTCCCGCTAATAAGATGGATAACGCCAAGACCGTTTGAGCTTTGACCAACAAAATTAGCGACTATTCCCAGGAGCCTATAACCCGGAGAGGGTTGTGCACATGCAACTGCGTTTCTATTTAGCTCAATTTTCCCGAAATTTTGAATATCAAATAAGTCTTACAAGTCGGGTATCAAGAACTGGAGAATGGAAAATAGTGTATCTGATGTTTTGATAGCATCTAATTTTTCTTTTCGTCATTATTAACTTACTATGGATGGGCACATACGGGACGTTGCTTCCATTTTCCCGGGAAAAGTACTCCAAAATGATGCTGAAAATAAACTTATCTGTGAAAACGCCGTTGTATGTACTAAGTATGGGAGTGGTACTCCTCCAGCTTATGAGCTCCTGCTTTTCCGGAAAAATTAACTGGGAATATTTTAAAGTCGTTAACATTGATGTTACCATTGCAACCGAGTTTTAAAGCAGTGTTTTTGCAAAATCTGCCTTTTCCTTTAAAAGGGATATATTTCTATTATCACTTATTGTAAGAGTACACTTAATTTAGCAGTATTTTATCAAATGTATTACAACTGTCACGGTAATGCAGGCTTTTTAGTGACTAATTTGAGGGAAAAAAATTACATGACTAAATGGCACATGCTGTTAAATTTTTAACAGTGTTCTTTTTTTCTCGAAATGTCATAACTGGTGGATCATTTTTTTCTTTGCTTTTAATTGACCCGTTTGTACACAGATATTGTTTTTTCTCACGATTACCAGGAGTTATACGGTTTGTATAGACATATTATTGTTTCGTAGTATTCTATTTTCACTCTTGTGTATATCTGTAAAATGGAGTTTAAACTGATCAGTATATCGTCTGTATAAAATTTTGTGTTTGAGTTCTTGTCGAGTGAAATGTGCGTACGTTTTTGACTGGATATTTTGATAAATAATGTACGCTAGCTAAATGTAAGCTTATGTATAAATAAAAATGCAATTTTAGTCAACTTCGTTTAAACAAATTTAACTTCCTTACAGTGCAAAGAATTCATGCAGATTGTCTGCCCCGTTAGTTTATTTTTTTTTCAAATACACATGATTTTGCAT